TCGCGGCAGGATAAAAGCGGGCGGAGCCATGAGCGGGCTGGGCGGAGCGGGCGAGGAGAGCGGAGCAGGCGGAGGGGGCGGGCGTGTACTGGAGCCCTTAAAACTAAGGGCATGGGGCCTGGAGCCATGAGCCTGCTGGGACCATGGAGGCAGGCCATCAGAGAGAGCCGGTTCGGACGGACTCAGCTTAGAATCGAAGGGCGTGGGGCCATGGGCTGGGTCGGAGCCATGGGCGCGTGGGCGCGGAGCGGGCAGGCGGGGGGGAGCGGGCGGAGGGAGCGGGCGGGGAAAGCGGAGGGGGCGCAGGCATGCGCTGGAGCCCTTTAGGCTCAGCTTTGGTTCAAGGGCATGGGGCCATGAGTTATGGGTTGGATCGGAGGGCGCCATGGGCGGGTGGGCAAGCGAGCGGGGGGGCATGGGGCCTTGGTGACGGGTCGGGGCAAGCGCAGCGGGGGGGGGGGGGTGGGCCACAGCGTGGTGGGGTGGGGTGGGGGACTGCGGGTGGGACTGGGGCGGGAGGTGGGGGGGGTGGGGGGGGGTGGCCATATGGGGTGGGGCCTGAGACGCGGCGGGTGGGTGGGTGGGGGGGGCTTGGGCGGGGCTTGGGCGGGTGGCGGGGTGTGCGGGGGGGGGGGCGGAGCGGGCAGGCAGTGGGTGGGCGGGGGGTAGGGGGGACGGGGTGGGGTGTGGGGGGCGGAGCGGGCGGGGAAAGCGGAGGGGCACGCACTGGAGCCCTTAAAACTCAGCAGGGTGGGGACGGGGTTGGGGTGGGTGGAGGGGGGGGGGTGGAGCTTTGGATGGGGTGGAGTCGGTGGTACCATGGATCCAGTGAGGGCCGGGTGCGTAGGGTGAGGGGGTGGGGGTGGGGGCGGTGGGGGGTGGGGGTGGTGGGGGTTGGGGGTGGGGGTGGAGCCATGGGGCCAGGAGGCAGGTCGAGCATGGCGGGGTGCGCTTGGGCAAGGGAGGGAGTATGCGGAGCGGGAAGGGGAGAGGTGGTGGGGGTAGAAGCCACCTGCTTGGGCCGCGACCACAACAAGGAACGGGGAGACATTGGGATGAAAAGCATGGGTGCGTGAGGGGTAAGGGGTAGGGAGCTGGGTCCATGAGGGGTAGGTCAAGGGGATGGAGAGTGGGAGCATGGGCCAGAGGGGAGTAGGCGGAGCTGGAAGGGCGGAGGGCGGAGCGGGCGGAGCGGGCGGAGGGCGGGCATGCACTGGGGCCCTTTAAAGTCAGCTGAGAAGCCACATCCATGGGTCGTGGACCATGAGCCAATGGGGCCAGGAGCCATGGGTCCAGTGAGTGGGGGGTGGGGGTCGGTAGCCATGGGTCCATGACAAGCGTGGGCGGCGAAGCAGGGTGCGTGCGGGGGGGGTTGGGGGTGAAGGGCATGCGGGGTGCGTGGGGGGCTTGGGCAAGGGAAGGAGTATGCAGCGGGAAGGGTAGAGGTGGGGAGCCATGGGGCCAGGAGCCATGGGTCCATGAGGGCATGGGTGCGTGAGGGTGAGGGGTAGGTCAAGGGGATGGAGAGTGGGCCAGAGGGGAGTAGGCGGAGCTGGAAGGGCGGAGGGCGGAGCGGGCGGAGCGGGCGGAGGGCCCGGGCATGCTGGGCTGAGAAGCCACATCCATGGACCATGGGTCCAGTGAGGGCCGGGTGCGTGGGGGGTGGGGGTGGGGGCGGTGGGGGGTGGGGGGTGGGGGTTGGGGGTGGGGGTGGAGTCATGGGTTTTGTCCACAGCCCAAGCAGGTGGCTTCTCCGCCCCTACCCCCACCTCTACCCTTCCCGCTCTGCATACTCTTTCCCTTGCCCAAGCCCCCCACGCACCCCGCATGCCCTTCACCCCCACCCCGCACACACCCTGCTTCACCGCCCACGCTTTGCACTTGGGGCCCTTTAAGTCAGCTGAGAAGCCACATCCATGGGCCGTGGACCATGAGCCAATGGGGCCAGGAGCCATGGGTCCAGTGAGGGCCGGGTGCGTGGGGGGTGGCTTGGGCAAGGGAAGGAGCGGGGTGCGTGGGTGGTGGGGGTAGGGCAAGCGGGCGGGCATGCACTGGGAGGAGCCATGGGTCCATGAGAAGCATGGCGGGGTGCGTGGGGGGCTTGGGCAAGGGAAGGAGCGGGGGGCGGGGTGCGTGGGTGGTGGGGGTAGGGCAAGCGGGCGGGCATGCGCTGGGGGCCGGTCGAGCTTTGGATGGGGTGGAGTAGGTGGTATCATGGGTCCAGTGAGGGCCGGGTGTGGGGGTGGGGTGGTGGGGGGTGGGGGTGGGGGTTGGGGGTGGGGGTGGAGCCATGGGTCCATGACAAGGGGGGGTTGGGGGTGAGGGGCATGCACTGGGAGGAGCCATGGGTCCATGAGAAGCATGGCGGGGTGCGTGGGGGGCTTGGGCAAGGGAAGGAGCGGGGGCGGGGTGCGTTGGGGGACGGTCGAGCTTTGGATGGGGTGGAGTAGGTGGTACCATGGGGGTGGGGGCGGTGGGGGGTGGGGGTGGGGGTTGGGGGCCAGGAGCCATGGGTCCATGACAAGCGTGGGCGGCGGGGCAGGGTGCGTGCGGGGTGGGGGGGGTTGGGGGTGAGGGGCATGCGGGGTGCGTGGGGGGCTTGGGCAAGGGAAGGAGCGGGGGGCGGGTGTGTGGGTGGTGGGGGTAGGGCAAGCGGGCGGGCATGCACTGGGAGGAGCCATGGGTCCATGAGAAGCATGGCGGGGTGCGTGGGGGGCTTGGGCAAGGGAAGGAGCGGGGGGCGGGGTGCGTGGGTGGTGGGGGTAGGGCAAGAGGGGGGGCATGCACTGGGGGCCGGTCGAGCTTTGGATGGGGTGGAGTAGGTGGTAGGGGTAATGGGTCTTCACTGACGCCGCCCCGCTAGGGGTCGGCGGATATATATATATATGTATATATATATATAGTTGTTATTTCTTTAAGTGTTTTTTCTTCAGAAGTTCTTTTCTTAAGACCTATCAACAGGAATTTCAATAACTATTCTGTCCTTATGTTTGCCAAACAGCATAAAATAGTCTTCTAAAAACTCATCGTTCATTAGCAACTGGTGGACGTGATTGAATACTTTAACAAGATCGGATTTAGGTTTGTCAGGATCGGATTTAGGTTTGTCAGGATCGGATTTAGGTTTCTCGGGTTCCTCTTCATCAACAAATTTATTCGGAAATTGTTCGTTTAATCGTTTGCGTATTTCCTTTTTCTGCTTTTCGTATTCCGCCTTAGTTTCTGCTTGTAATTCGTCGGTTAATTTGCCTTCTTTTCTTAATTCACCTAGCTTTGTTAAATAACCTTTCATCAATACATTTAGTTCCGAGTTCGGATGTAACGCATAATGGAAATGGGCATCCCAGTTTTCGTTTTTCATTTTGTGCCCGCATTCTTCGCATAATTGGCTCCCTTTTGCTCTCACTTCTCTTCTCGCTTGGTTATAATCGTTTTTGTTTTTACCGTAACATTTTCTTTTCGCTTCACGGCACTTATTACAAGTCTTAAAGCCGTCAAACTCTTCAACATCTTTTGTCGCACAACACGATTTACACACTCGTTTTTCCATCTTACTATACTATAAAGTCTAGTCTTTAGGCATGGTTAGACTGGAAAAATCTTCTAATATTTTAATTAATATTAGAACATGTGAACGAGCAATGGGCAATAGGGGCACAACTCCAAACTAATTAACCATTACCGCACTCTTATGATACGCTTCTGGTATGGTGAAACACGCGGGGAGAAGAAATGATGTCTGGGACTTAATGCTGAACTATACACTGTCATTACTATTTGTAATCACAACTTTACGTATTTATTTCAATATTTCATGTAACTCATAAAATTCAAACAACAATTTAAATCGTTTCTTATACTGATTTAAATGCTGGTAATCCTCCAGTTCATCTATTATAGCACTTAACCTAGCGTTATGCATTCTTACCTTTCTTCGTTCAATTAACCAAGCGCTTTTGTTTTCTTTCTTTTCTTTCTTAAAACACAAACAATCCATATTATTACGATTAGATATATATATATATATATTAATTCAACTTTTTTAAAATGCGCTGTTTCAACCCATCAATTTCAATTTCTATCCGTTCTGTGTCTTTCTTGATGACTTCAATGTCTGTAGTGCTCTCTTCTATGCTTTGTTCGCATTCTTCAGGTGTTATACCATGGGTTCCAAATCCAGCATCACAAATTTCAACGCTTCCAACTTGTCCGTCGGATTTGAAAATATTATTTTCATCAGGACTAAAATTCCACCCACCAAATTTAACATGTCTCTTATCAATGACAGTATTTGTTGTCATTATGTTGTTTTCTTTCACAGTTTTGGTTTCTTTATGATATGACTGGCGCTTACACTTACAAGGGATACAAGAAACACCTTTAGCATTCATGAAGAACCCTTTATGTTTGTCACTGTCACTGCCGTTATCGCTCATTTATACTACTTAGATTTGTTTTTATTCTTCAATGCCTGCATTCATCACATCTTCAGAAGTGGCAGCGTAGGAGCGCCAGGAGTTTAGGCTCTTGCACAGGTAGATGGAGTGTTTGAAACTGGATGCCGGTGAAGTTGACCCTAAATATGAACTTGACAAGCGCATCAGCATTTTCTTTGTATCGTATCTGTTTGAAAGATTGCCATTTCCATTTTCTCAGCTTAGGGAGCTGAGCTTGGACGTTATGGGTTTTTCCGTTTTCAGAGCCTAGAATAGGTCACTTGGTTGAATTTCCAGTGGTGGTGTTGTGTTTTTTTGCTTGATGGTCTGGGGTCTGGGTTTGGGTCCATAATATGGCCTAGTGTAGGTCATCTGGTTGGGTTTTTCTATGTGGTGGTGTATGGTTTCTTCTGGATTCTGGTGGCTCCATCGTGTGGGCCTTACAATGGGTATTTTGGTGAGGTTTGGGTTGAGGTATAGGTTGTTATGGTTTTGGGTCTTCGGGGGCATAGGGGGGTGGGCATGGTTAGAAAATGGAAATGGTATCCACCAACTGATTTTGAGGCGCTGGTCGCCATTTTCAAGGTGATGGCAGGTGACAGGCAGATTCTGCTTCTTGCTGGCAACTGATGGCGCCTTGAGGGCTTTGCTGCCTCCTACCTGTCTTTTGTAAGGAACGATGTGGAAGAGAAAAAAGAGGAGTTCGAACACCTCAAGGCGCCCCTCTGGCATCAGATGTGTTGCCGACATGATGTCGATGAGCATGGGCACCTAAGTGGGCTGCAGGACAAGGTCAGCCATCTGGTCCCCAAGGGGGAGCAGCACATGCGCGAAGCAATGACGCAGATGGCGCCATGGAAGCACTCATTGACCCGTGTGCCAAATGAAGCATGCCAAGCAACGGCACAAACCTGAATCAGATCAGGTGAAGGATGGAAGGAACCAACCTGGGACCAAGGAATTCCTTAAAGCCCTGGAAAAGGTGCGGCGCTTCTCATTTGTGCGCTTGGATGTGTCAGCCATCCCTGCTAGAGCGAGTTTTGCCAGGGCCGCAAGCAGCCAGTAAAAGCGCAAGACTTGAAGGCTGCTGAGAAGCAGCGCAAGGCTCGCCCCACAAATTTCATTGCATGTCGCGGCTTGAGCCCAGCGGCAAGCAGTGGCAAACGGTGGCGGAGAGGTCAAGAAGCTTGCTAAAGGCTTGGCCGTGCACACGGCCACTGTCCGCCGCCAAGACTACCAGCCTGCTATCTTCTTTGCAGATCAACAACCTGTGTTCACTTGTGCACAGACAGAGACTGCACTGCGACTGCACACTCCGAAGGTGGAGCTGATGCTGGACTGCTTTGATAACTTTGTGATCCTCAAGCGCCTCAGCACCTCAGCAGCATCCCAGACGCAGTCGCCAGCGCAGTGCCTCTGCTATGCGTGCTCAGGTGAAGACAGTGCAGCTCACGCCAACAGTTCCGCAGCATGGCTTGACAGCAAATGTGTGGAAGCAGTCGCGACACAATATGCCGGCAACACGATTTCTTCTGCCACGCGGATCTGCGATCTGGCTTCGGAGGCATCAACACTTTCGACACTGATCTCCACAGCGCGAAAGGACTGTTTGTTCCTTGGCAGCCACGACATGCCACGACCAAGGTGCCCCTTGGGGGCACAAGAGCTTCAGAACATTCTGGCCAGTGTGCGAAGCAGTGCCAAGGTTTGGCCACTTCTTGAGGCCAGACAAGGACAGGGACGCGGGGCTTAGCAAGACCTGTTGCCAAACCATGTCTTGAGCCCCCGGCTTGGAGGGCAAGGACAACAAGGACGAGGACAAGGACAGGGGACCGACCAAACGGTGTCATCCAAGCCATTTAGGGGGGTATAGCGGACCCCTAATATAGACCCCCCAAATAGCTGGTTCACAGTGCAGTCGCGCTCAGTTGCTCAGACTCAGAGAAAGCGCCGAGTAAATAGTAGGATTCCCTCACAGTAAGGACCCCAATGAGGTACACCTTCCCCCCCATTTTCGTAAAGCCCCCGTTGTTTTGCTTTGAGGCTCCCGAGCCCAAGGAGGCCAAGATCCATCCTGATCCCGAGTCGGAGCCGCGGGTGCTCTCGCTGCTCTATCATCTGCAGAATGAGGACGGAACCCGGGACCCTTAGAGAGGGGCCATTTTGGGGCATGGACCCTTTCTCCTGCAAGCGCCCTGTGTGGCCACGAACTGTTGGCTTATGGAGGAGATGGAGAGGATGGATGCAGTCGTTGCGCAGCCCGTGCCTTATGACCGAAAGTTGAAACCACGACCCAAATCTCAAGCTGCATGGAGGTGCTTGAGCAAGTGTCTGAACTGGTCCTTTATCAGCCGGCAAGTGGACGTCTTCTGCTCGCAGACGTTGCCGTCCGGGGCAGCTGGACCAGCATTGGCATCTACACTATCTAAGCTGGGGGAGGGCCGTGGCTTGTAAATTTATAAAGAGAGCAGTTGCAAACCCCGCTTCTTAAGCAGCCCGGCCTGTCAGGAGACAGGTCTCTGGTCCACAAGGTTGTAAGGTCGTGCCCCTGAAACTCAGGTTGTTCTCAATGCCGTGGAGCGTGAGGTGTCTGTGGTTGTGCAGGGCAGCGCCGCTGCTCAGGTCATCTTAGCGGCGAGCTTGGGCTTTTACATATTTATACGACTGAAAGAGTTGAAGCCATGGGACCGGGGTGCAGAGAAGCTGTCACAAGGGCGCGTTTCAAGTCGGCTACGAGCTCTTCGAGACAAGGTACAGGACGTCATCGGATCCTTTGTCTTGAATGTTCGTGGGTGTGCATCTTCAGCGGCTGCTTCCACCCCAAATCGTTCTCATCACATGCTCACATTGTGGACTGACTAATCAGAGCCAGACCCAGCACGTGCTGAAGACCCTGTGACCAATTGCCAGCGCAGGACCAATCCGCTGGAAATCTTCTCAGACTGCCGCCAGCCCAGATCTCTTTGAAGTTCACACCTAGTACATTCGAAAAGAAGCAAAGAACCAAGTAGGCTATTGGAACCTCTGAAACTCCTACTCACGTTGATTCGGGGGCATGCCACTCACGATATTGCGCACATGAGCGTCGGCACTTTTTTTTCTCTTCGCCTGATTCGTCTGTAGCTGCCAGTGGCACTTTTCCTGTATGGCCTGCCTCATTACGAACTATGTCGAATGTGTGCATGCCAAGTGGGTCTTATCGGCTGATTCAAGGTCTTGCCCGTTTTCATTCGTACCAGACTCCAGGAAACCCACTGCATGTTTAATCCGCCCGGACAAGCAAGCAGTTTCTCAGAGCACTTCCTCCTTTTATTAGTGAACGGAAAGTCACGCAAAGGAAAGACAACTTTTCCTGCTTTGTCCCAACGATCGGCATGCTCGGTTTTGGTTCCTCTGCCACTTGTAAACGAGCTCTGCGAGCCAACGCTTCTCGGACGGGTTCGACGAGTTTTTGGTCATACAATTTCTTGCGCTTGCTTCGGGAGCAGATATTGTCCTGTCATGTGGCAAGATACAAAAACTGGCCCTTGCCTTTGGCCTAACGCCCAACCACAGCCGGGCATCGTCTTGTCACCTTAAGCCGTGCCCGGCTTCCCACTCCTACAATCTTCTGACCTCCAATTCCAGCACGCCCGTGTCGAATGCCAACCGCGCTGCGACTCCGCTACGACGACGTGCTCCTGCAACCCGTGCCTGCCTAGGTGGCCTGCTGACCGCGGATGTTGTCAAAAGGCCGCAGGCCATGGGCACCAATTTCTCACGCTCTGATTCCTTAGTTATCAACGGAATCAGTTGCATGTCTCGCAGTGTCACAAGGGTGGCCAAGTTGAGCTGACTTGGGATGTGTGTGTGTTCGCCTCGATTCCAGCAGGTGCAATTCATCCTCAATTCAGAGATTGATGCTCAGCCCCCTGGCTACATAGAGACCAAAGAGAACCCATAGAGAACCTGGTCCTGCCAACTTTACCTATGTTTGCTTTGGCAAGGCTGAAAGGCGGTTCTGAATTGTCGCCCAAAGCCCTTATTGCGGCGGTGAGGCGGGCAGCCAAGAGCGCACTAAGCCCAAAGCCCTTAGATCTTGCGCCGCTTGGGTTCGGCCAGATTGAGCCGCAGGAGCATCTGTCTACAAAATGAGAAGGTTGCGCTGACGACGAATTCCCCTCAGTCCAAAGCAGCAGGGCATGGCATGCGACGCGCAGTCTTGTCTTCGATGGCTAAGGGGAAGCCAGCCCAAAGCGTACTTCTGGTACAAAGCGCTGGTGGCAGTCCTGAAGGCAGTCCCAAGCAAGTGCTATCCAAGTTGTTGCAGACCTTTGTGCTCTTGTACTGCAACCCTTGCAAGCAGGACTTGGGCTGGAGCAAGGAGGAACTTGAGAGCCCCGACAGCAAATTCTGAAACTCCCCAGCGACAGAAATTCATAAGCCTCTGCAAATCTCGCACCTCTCGCACTTGTAAACAAAAGCGAGGCCATCAAAGGGTTGGCTGCAGCAACGCTGGGAAGAGCTGACGGATGGCCGGCTCCCTACTGTACCCTTTAAGGCATCTGTCTGTGTCGGTGACGCATGTAGAATCACATGTAGAATGCTGCGATGAGGATGTGGCCTGTTCGAGTGCCCCGCTGCCTCGTACTGCATCAGTTGCACCACATCTGACAAATGTCTAGGCTGTTAGAACAGAGTAGTGGGCGGCTTGTGCGCCATGCGACAGCCATAAGCATAAAAAACTCACTGTCACCGAACTGTTGCTCCGAGAACTTGTAGCTTGCAGCCCCGGCAGTGCCTGCACCCTTCAGGCTGAGGCGGGCCTTGTGCTTGACGGAGTCGCAGTAGAAGGAGAGAAGCAAGAAGGTGAAGCATCACCAGAAGAAGAAGAAGAAAAGGAAGAAGAAGAGTGACCGGCGAAGCAGTGAAACTGTCGCTGGTCGATTTCCCTCAGGTCCAACATGGGACTTGGCGCCAAGCAGTTGCTTGTAAGCTCCTTTGCTGACAAGGCAGAGCTGCTGCGACCAAACTGGTTTGTTGGCTTTCCTCGCAGCTCCTGAGTGCAGTTCCGAAACTGGTGCAGTTGCAACCTGCAGCCCTTCCCACATTCGAGATTTTTAGGGTTTAGGGATTAGGGTCTTCAACTTTCTCTACATGTGCCTTGTTGTGCCAGCAATTATTGCTCAACATCAGGGCCTGGAGCTGCGGGAGTACTATGCCGCCGCCTGTGGACATTGCCAGGCCCATGTTTTCCCAATGCCAGAACTGACTAGCTTACTGGCCACAGAAGGCCACAGAAGCCAGTGTTTGTATGTTTTTTTTGGCGAGGCCATGGCTCCTGCTTGGAAGGCGGCGCAGAGCGCCTACTCCGGTCCGGTCACATTCCGTGGCTCGGACTGCCAAGGTTGATGTGACGGCCCAACAAGAACACATCACGAGGCACAAGTGCGAAGTGCTTGTTCCTGCCGAAGGTCAGATTGAGTGCAACGATCGAAACTGGAACCCGGTTCCCGAGAACGCCGATCTTTGCAAGGTTCCTCTCGACAGTTCGTCTTCACTCCCCATGCGATGTGACCGTATGTGACCTTTCCTGCTGCTAGGACGTTCGGGGTTTCCCAACCATCAAGACTCTTGGACCAATCTTGGCCAATCTTGGCTGTCTCGTCGTAGCCTTGTGGCGATGGAGCACAGTGGATCTCAGGATGTTCAAGGACGGCGAAGAGATCTCGGATTACGATGGCAACCGCTCGACCGAGTCGCTGGTGAGCTTTGCCAAAGATCATGAGCACCTTCGATGCATCTGGGTCTGAGAACATGTATGTCATGGGCATGGAGTATCATGGAATCGACACTCGTTCTTGTGGGCATGGGGAACGCCCAAGCGCCATTCCATGATTTTTGCTGTCCCATGCTTTCCGAGCTCCAGCCGAAACTGTGACACACAGGAAGCTGCTGACGCAGTCGATGCCGGCGTTCGCTTGTTTGTTCGGACCCCCACCCTCTCGAAGGAGGTCTGCTGAGCCTCGGAAGCAGAGTGGAGTTCAACCCTTTATGAGGCACTTTGCCAAGGCACCGCACTTGAAAAGGCAATTGAACGCAGCGCTTGCAAAAGGCAAACTTCCTCTAATCCCGGCAGCTAGCGGATGCCGGCAACAGTGCGCTGAACAGCATGAGTTGACTCCCAGCTCATGATTCCGATGGGCTGGATGTGCCCTGAGAGTGCATTTGTGGATCTTTCTGGGTCGTGCGTGTCGCATGGTGCCTTTGATTGGTTGTGCCTTCCCACTCAGCCGGTGCCGACTCAGGTGACATGCAGTGCCGGAGGAGCGTTACATAGTTACACGACAAATTCAGCTGCAGCAAAAAGTCCTCGGGGAGAATCCAGTTCTTTTCGGGAAGAACTCGAGATGCTGCCCTTGAGTGCCTGACAGGGGTGCCACTCAGTCCAGGTCTAACTTTCTCGGGGCTGAAGTCTTCGATGGCAGGTACAGCTCCACCGAGGAAGTCGTAAGCCTGGTTCTTCGCATAAGCAATGGGGGATTGTGGAAGGCCCGGGTGGTAGGTGCTGCAAGTCCATGCATCTCAAAGAAGCCAGCACTGCCGGAAGTGCCGTGAGAGAAAGGCTGCAGCGAAATCAATGCTACTGAAAGCCGGCTCGTGCCCCAGGAATGACACTTAAAGCCTTTGGGTATGTGCAGGTGTCGTGTACCGCACGTTTCCTTCGGAGGTGTGGGTGGCTATGCATGCTGCCAGGGAATCCCGAAGGAGGCAAACTCGTGCCTTGCATTTAAAAGGTTTAACTCTGGCCAAGACGCCCCTTCAGGCTGCCGAAATGGCAAGGGAGTGGCTTGCTTAGCACTCTTTGGTTTGAGTTCATGTGGGCTCATCCAGGTGCGCGAAAGTGCCATGGGTCACTGTCACCACGGGTCACAGAATCTAAGATGTTGAAGCTGATCCAAATCTGAGGCTGGAAGGTTGCAACGTGCTGGACCTCTCCTTGGCCAGGATCTTGACTCCTCGAACTTCTTGTGTCGAAGCGTAGCTGTGGCCCAAGGTGAACGAGAAGTGCGATTGGCCACCTGATGTAACCAAGCTCTGGGAGGAGCCTATATTTCGTCGCCTTGGCTAGTGTTCGGCTGCGCAGTGCTCCGTGCCCAGCTCGATGCGCAGGAGTGTGCGACTGTGGCCTCGCCCGACGGGCGCAAGCCTCACATTTGAGCTTCACACCTTGGGAGCCTTGGGGGCACTCCGGGGACCTGTGCAGGCCCTCCTTCCTTCATGCCTCGAAAGTCCTGCAATTCATGGAAGCCTTGGTCTACGAACCGGCTGAGGATGTGCTTTACTGGTCAATCTTGAAGCCAAAGTTCCTTCTAACAGTTCCTGTTCTCAACTTCTAGCTGATTCTAGCTGCTCTAGCTCAGAGTGTGTATCGACTACAGATTCCTCAAAGCCAGGACAAGACCGAGGAGGCCACAGTGGCCAGAAGTTCCACAGTGCAACAAGGCCCTTCTAGTAACTTCTAGTAGCCATTGCCAGGCCAAGCAGAAACTCGTACCTCTGTCTCCATTTGCCAACTCCATGGAGGCCGAAACTCTGTAGCTTCGGAGATGTCTACCCAATCCCTATGCGATTGAGCGGTGTCTTTTCAGGACCTGGCATGGCAAAAGGAGACCGGTCTTCCCCCCTGCTGCCACAGCACAGGAGCTCCGAGCTGTCATGGCTGTTTCTGAGGCAAAGCTCCCAACCTCTGGCATGTGAAGCCTTCTGGCCGGCGCAAGCTGTCAGGGCCTTGGAGACGTTGCGGCTGTGGCATATGTTTCTTTTTTAAGCTGGATCCCCCCCATGCCTGGAGGCGTGGCCTGTGGCTGGAGTTGGTATTGCAGATCTTCGATTCCATGGAGCGGTGATGTCCAATGCCGTCGTTGCAAAGCTTCGATTTTGCTTAGTTTGCAAGCGGCTTCTCACAGAGTCGCGGCGTGGGCAGGACTGCATACCTTCCGACCTAGACCTCTTCTTCGAGTGCCAGGTCTAGTTACTGTTGGTGATTTGTCAGGGGCCCCTTCAATATGGAACCTACTGGGCCTACTCCACTTGACTGACTTGAGCACAAGAACGCTCCCACTTGCAAAAAGGCGGCTACAGAGAAGAATGGTGCCGTGTCGTTCGTGTTGTGCCCAGGCTGCACTGACAGGCGCAAGCGCTTATCATGCCACAATCCGGGCACTGCAAACCTGTGGGTCTTTGCCGATGGACGTCGGGTCTTCTTAAAGTCTTGGGGCGTGTATAAGCCCTCCGCCCCTGTACTGTCGATAGTATTTAGCTAGGCAACCTCTCACACGTGCTGAGAGCAGAGGCACCTGCACAAGTTCAAGGCATGGCTGAAGCGTGCGGGGCTTGAGATGCGGCAGTGAATGGCTCTAACCAAGTTGCTAAGAGTATCTTGGATGGGTTGCCCTGGAGACCGTACTGACACCGCCCAGACTGGGCTCAGCCGAAATCAGAAGCACTCGAAGCACGTAGTGAGGCGACTACTTCTCAAAGCTGACGGACTGCACATTCAACCAGTTCAAGGCCTTCTGGGCCGCAGGGATTTGGTCGCTCTGTTTTTGCTTTTCTAGTCTTGTTGATGGTAAGTCAAGGGGCGAGTATATATATATATATGCTCACCCCCCCCCCTACGACAGACCCCGGAAGCGAAAAAAAGGCTACGGACAGCATAGCTGCACACAGCAGCCAGACACGTTAACAAACAATAGATATATGCATATATATATATATGTGTGTGTATATCTATATATGGTACCTCCCCCCCCAAAAAAAAACGTCTCCCTATGCTCTTCCCTGAAGTCCGACAGATAGGGTTTTACTAATTCATTAAATATTTACTCAACTTCACAGATTTGTCTACCGTAATTGATTTCAAACACTTTCGTTAACTTCGTTGATTCCAAAAAGCTTAATTCACATAATTTGATCCACGCAGCAATTGCTCGAGCGAGTGCTCAAACAGAAGTGACCTGAACAATTTGCTGGACATCGTGGATTGCTATTAATTTCAAGAAGATTGCTGTTAGTTTTACTTGGGTTCCTATTAAATTTAGTAGGATTCATAGGGTTCGTATGAGTTCAATAGGAATCCCATTTAAATCAATAGGAAACCCATTAAAATGAATGAGAACCCTATTGAAATTGAGACGAGTCTTTTGTGAAAACTTAGTAAGAATCCTAGTACAATCAATAAGAACCTTATTAAATGAACAGGGCTCCTATTAAATTTTCTTGGAGTCCTAAATTCAGAGGAATCATAGGAAGGCCATTGAAATGAATAGGAACCCTTTTGAATTCATAGGAATGCTATTAAAATTAATAGGAACCTTACAAAAGAATCTATGAATTCTTTTAAGAGTAACAGGCATCCGTTTAACATGAAGATGAATCCTATTAAAAGATAAGAGGAGCCAATAAAATTCTATAAAAAAAGTAACGTGGACGCTTTAAAACTTGAAACAATAAGAGTCGTACTGTTAGAACTATGATGAACCCTATTAAAACTTTAATAAATAGGATTGCTAATAAAATTAATAAGAGTTACAATAACATTACTTCGAGTCCAAGTGAAATGAATAGGGAACAGGATTTAAAAGCATAATCGGAGCACTGTGGAATCTAGTAGGAATCCTATGAACATTATTAGGAATCCTGTCAACATGAATGAGAAACCCTGCTAAAATGAATACGAAGCCTATTCCAATTAATCAGAAGCCTGTTACATGAATAGGAAGCTTGTCAAAGCAAACGGAATCCAATTAGAAATTGTACGACATCTTATGAAAATGAACAAGAAGCCTATTGACATGAATAGGAATATGTTTAAAGTTTGTTATGATGCTTATTAGAATTCTTAGGCTAATTTATTAAAACTCATATTAAAACTAACTAGGAATAAGAATGCTATTAAAATGACTAAGAATTGTATTCAAATTACTTGGCATTTGAGTAAAATGAATAGGAATCAATCTTAAACCCAATAAAGCCTTTAATAGGCATCCTTTAAAATTCAATACGAACCTCATTAAACAAATACAGGAACCCTATTGAAAATCACTTTGAATGCTAGTAAAATGATTAGGAATCTGATTCATTAAATAAGGACCCCCATTAAAGTGAACAGGAGTATTATCAAATTGAATAGGCAGCCTAAATCATAATAAGGAATCATATAAGAACCCCTGAAAAAATCTTATCCAAACTCCAGTTTCCAAAATTCCAAAAACCAAAATCCACCCCAAAGGTTTGGATGGAAACTCGAACGGGAGCCTCAAAATCCAAAAATCGAGCAAATTCCTCGAGTTTCCAAAATTCCAAAAATCCAAAAAAATCACCCCAAGGTTTGGAATTTTGGAAACTCGAGGAATTTGCTCGATTTTTGGATTTTGAGGCTCCCGTTCGAGTTTCCAAAAATCCTAAACTTGGGTTGGAATTTTTGGATTTTTGGAATTTTGGAAACTCGAGCGGGAGCCTCCAAATCCAAAAATCGAGCAAATTCCTCGAATTTCCAAAATTCCAAAAATCCAAAAAAATCACCCCAAGGTTTGGAATTTTGGAAACTCGAGGAATTTGCTCGATTTTTGGATTTTGAGGCTCCCGTTCGAGTTTCCAAAAATCCTAAACTTGGGTTGGAATTTTTGGATTTTTGGAATTTTGGAAACTCGAGCGGGAGCCTCCAAATCCAAAAATCGAGCAAATTCCTCGAGTTTCCAAAATTCCAAAAATCCAAAAAAATCACCCCAAGGTTTGGAATTTTGGAAACTCGAGGAATTTGCTCGATTTTTGGATTTTGACGCTCCCGCTCGAGTTTCCAAAAATCCGAAACTTGGGTTGGAGTTTTTGGATTTTTGGAATTTTGGAAACTCGAGGAATTTGCTCGATTTTTGGATTTTGACGCTCCCGCTCGAGTTTCCAAAAATCCGAAACTTGGGTTGGAGTTTTTGGATTTTTGGAATTTTGGAAACTCGAGGAATTTGCTCGATTTTTGGATTTTGAGGCTCCCGCTCGAGTTTCCAAAAATCCGAAACTTGGGTTGGAATTTTTGGGTTTTTGGAATTTTGGAAACTCGAGGAATTTGCTCGATTTTTGGATTTTGAGGCTCCCGCTCGAGTTTCCAAAAATCCGAAACTTGGGTTGGAGTTTTTGGATTTTTGGAATTTTGGAAACTCGAGGAATTTTGGAGTGTTGGTCTTCCGCCCCCTTCCTGGACAGACTGGAAATGCAATTCCAGGGTCTGTCGTAGGGGGGGGGGGTGACCATATATATATATATGTCTGTATATCTATATGTAGATGTATATATATATATTTTTTTTTTCACAGTCATGTTAAGTGTAATTACCCCTGTCAGCTCTGAAGGTGATTGTCCAGGACATGCTGAAGTGCCAAATCCCTGAGGAGGCATGTGACAGTTTGCTTGAGGATGCTACTTCTGTGCATTCCTACCATTACCTGGCTACGCGTGCGCACGCGCGACCTGCTGATACCGCTCATGCTCGCCCAGGGTCCCCCTGAAACCTGAAAAGATGCGGCGTAGAGTCCACGCACCAAGAACAACTGATTGATTTTCGCCACGCGTGCGCGTTTTGCAAGTGTGTGTTGACGGCCTTAGCCATTGGCCACGTTGACATAGGCCGAAAAAAGCATAGCGAACGGTCGCCAAAAGCAGCGGGAGATTTTGCACACTGTCTTTTGGGCGTTGGGCGGCGCAAAGGACCGGCTGCATGCTTGAATCTTCTAAGCCTGCCGCGCGTGTTCTTTGCCGAAACCGTCGCGAAGGGCTTTTCAATTTTGCTCATCCGCCCTAGCCTGCGGGGATGTGATTTCAGGAAAGTCGTGCGGAACCCAGGGCTTGCGAAACATCTGCAGACCTGAACAAAATGTGCAAGCCCTGCACCCAACCTGAGAAGCCAGCAGAAGCCAGGACCCTGACTGGCCCATTCTAAATGCAGAAGGTTTTTGCTTGCACGAAACCTCTGCCGGGAGAATTTGCCACGGATTTGGCGAAGAGTCCGTTTACGGGTAGTGTTGTCTTTTACGGAAATTCAGGTCACATGCCGTTTAAGAGTGACGAACTTGGTCAGAGCTCTCCGATGTGAACATGGTGAACACATGCTGCGGCGGCTTTTTGAAAGCAGTTCAGATCCGCGAGTGCTGCTGGTTTGCGGGGCGATTGATCGTGCACATGAGTGGAGTTCACCGAGTGAATTTTGCAAACTCTACCTGGCAGCAATAGCTAAGCAGGTGCAACAAAATTGGTTGGTATCCGCGGGGCGTGGTCCATCTCAAATCGTATTCTCCTTTCAACGGCATTGTGGGTGGAAACGCAGATGATCTTCGTCATCGCTGCTTGCGGAGGCTTTGAAGGAAGAGGTCTTCGACATCTGCCCTACCATCCCAGACGATGACCAGGCCATTGTGGCGGCTCAGGTGGTGCAGTGGCAGGGTTCGTACTGTATATGATTGTAGTAGTATATTATTAGATGATTGTATGTTATGATATCATGTTATTATATCATCGTTTTCTTATAGTATTGTATTATGATAATGTTGTATTGTCATATTCTTATATTGTTATCGGATGATATGAGTATATCATTATTACTCTTCTTATAGTATATTGTTATATTGTTATATGGTATACTACTCTATTGATATATTCTGATAGAAACATGTTCTGACAACACTATTTTCATATATTTGTATATTATCATATTGCTACAGTAAGCTCCAGAAAGTTGGAACATGGTTGAAGGCTGATTAGAGCTGGGATTCCCTTTAGTATACCCTTGTGAAAAAAATACCTTGTGGGGTATGGGGATAAGGATGTTCCAACTTTCTGGAGTTTACTGTATATTCCTAGATCTATGTATTCTTAGATTAGTATACCATCATACCTTTTTGTATTACCATATTATGATGTTAGTATATTAGTGTATATTGTATTATTACATTATTACACTGTTAGATGTTTATATAAATATGTATGTATACATATATATATATATATATGTATATCTATGTATATATATACACATATCACGAGCCATGACTTCGCAGCTGTTTTGCCCGAGCGCGGCCGTGCCAAAGAGCTCGACGATCTTGGCAAGCCGCAGGCGAAAGACCCTAAACCCTAAACCCTAAACCCTAAACCCTAAACCCTAAACCCTAAACCCTAAACCCTTGCGAAACGGGTGGGAAAAAACCCTAAACCCTGAACCCTAAAACCTAAACCCTAAACCTGCGCCCCAGCTGTGCAGGAGGGAAAAAAACCCTAAACCCTACATAAAACCCTGAACCCAAAGTCTCCGCAGACATCGGCGATTAGTCGTGAGACTTGCATACGGTTTCATGTGAAGGGTGACGTCTCGAGGAACTCTGAAAAGCATGGAAGTCTCCAAGGTCGCAGCCTTTGTGGCCGCTCGGCGCAGGGAAGGGAGGGAAGGGAGGGAGGGGGAGAAGGAGGGAGATAGAAAGACAGAAAGAAAGAAAAGACAAGGAACGAACACAATAAAAGCAAAGAACGAACGAAGTCACAAACAAAGAGGGAACAGAACAACGAAAGATTGTTCTTGGGGTAGGGGGGCCGCATGCGTACTGCTGCACACTGCAAGTATTGACGCAAGCTGAAGGATTGCAGCTTGTGCCCATGGCCCGGTCCAGAGGTTGTCCCACCAGAAGGTTTCGAGGAGTGGGAGGGACCCTGGGGAAATGGGCACTCGTAGAAAGACTCATGATGGTACGGTTTCTAGAAGGGTTTTGTCCGGGTCTCAAGGTGTGACAGGGTGATTTTGGAAGGCAAGCCAGGCGGTTACGTGCGTTTACTATTGGATCACGAGTGAAGGCAATAAGAAAGCACACCGAACGCAATCATTGTGATAAGTGAGCCTGCGAAATCGCATGAACTGTAGTGTGGGAACTTGCGAACGGGGTTTTCTTCGGTCAGTCCATAAAACCCGTACGAAATGAGGTCAAACAAAACAATGCGGCAAAATATAAGAAAGCAATGCCGCATGAACATGTTTCAGGGAGTGAATAATAGCCCAGATCATCGTATAATGAAGAAGGCTTTTTGATATGGGCTTTTAGTCGCTCACTCGTTCACTTCTAACAAGTGAGTGAAAGAAAGGAGTGAATGAAAGAAAGGAGTGAATGAAACGAAGCGGGCGATTATAAAGCTTGTATATTATTCTCATGAGGCGCGCGCATTTAATGCACGCCATAAACCCTACTAATATTCCTAGTATGACTACGAAAAGACCATAAAATATAGCAAATTGAGGGTAGACGCAGTGCACGCCCGTATATTTCACATTTTATAGGGTCTTTTTCTCGAATCAGCTCCAACCCCAAACAGGAATCTTTCAAGATGCGAAGGTTCCTGAGCTCCATGTCAGGAGGTATCCATAGATTCCAGCCGAAGATCTGTAATGCCAAATCAGGGGCCCGATAGGTGCATAGGGGAGAACACGGGAGGAGGTCCGAGGAAGGTTGCTCAAAGATGCATGGGGGTCGCATAGAAGGTCCATGAGGGGCGTTGTCAGGATGTTGTGGCTGTGCTGCAAAGCAGGTGAGGCCCTGCCGCGCTCTGCTTACAACTCTAATTCTTTCACGCCGCCCAAGGGCGGGACAAGCGGGCATGGCGTGTGCGCGGAGGGAGGGGTTTGACGGTTTGCCCAGTTCTCCTTCTTGGGTTTCTTGTCTCCAAGGCTCCTTCGCTGCCTGGGCCTGTTCGTACGGCGCCGGGCGCGCCAGGCCATGTTGCAGCACCTTCTGGACATGGGCATGTTGGGAGCAGCCCATTGCAGCCAGACAGCAGCTGGAGGCCCCGCAACTGGACCCACACAGGTCACGAAGACCCCAGCACGAGAGGTTTTCCTGGATGTTGTGTGGAGGGGAGCTGCAGTCACGGGAGTGGTGCGCTGCGGTACCTTCGCCTGCACTGAGATTGGGCCTTGGTGCGTTCGCCATGGCTGCTGCCACGCGGAAGGCAGACACATTGCCTGCGTGAGTGTTGTGTGTTGTAGACTCCTCGCAGCACAAAAGCACAAACTGGGCCGGAGTTGCAGAGGTACGTGCCTCGCGCGCGACTGCACTTCGCCGCCTGTCGAAAAGTTGCTCAATGCGCTTTGCCCGAAAATGTTCGTCGCTTTGATGCCAACCGCGCCAAATCAAGGTGCAAGCACGGTAGACGAATACGTTTCAGAGAATGTGCCTCGGGTTTGCACACCGGTGCAGCGGCCATGAGATGCCGTGAAAAATAAGATATGAGCATCGACGCGAAGGGCCGCTCTGGTGATTATGCTTTCTGACCCGGCCTGAGGATGTTGTTGCCTTCATTACGCCAACATGCCCATTTTGCAAGGAAGCAGCGCGCAGCCCAGTCATCACACTTGGTGTAGTGGGAACTTGCACCATCTTGCATCTCAACTTCCTGCTCTCAGGTTGCAGCGCTGAAGGATGCAGGTTATCCGCCTGTCATCGTGGAGGTTCCGGCTGGGTCAGACTTGAGGACGGAGGGCGTAATCGCATAAGTAGCCAGAGAGGGGCTGAAGACACACCAGAGTGGTTGAATTTTGGAGCGATAGTGCCAGTGTGTCAGTTGTTCTTTTCTTCCCTGCGCAAGGAACGAGCTGGCCTCCATGACGAACTCCACCAGCGTCCCAAAGGTTTGGGTCAAGGGTAACTTCGTCGGTGGATGCAATGACGGCCGCGTGCTTGCAAGTGGCAAAGGGTTGTCCGCGTGCCACGTGAATAGTGGCGCAGCATGTGGGTATGGAAAGGGCTCCCTGTTCATTCGAAGAACATGAACGTATGCACGCGGAAGGTTTACGGGAGGCACATGTCCGCGAGGGAGGAGCAGCAGGGGGTGGATGGGCGAGGGGAACTCTTAGGCCGAGCGCCGAGCCTCCGCTTGCAAGCTTCACACCCTTGCCATTCCCTTGTCACCGTCAGCAAGAACATCTCTGACAGATCTTCAACATGGTTTAAGACTTTAAGCGTTAATCCATGAAGTGACCAACGGCCAACATCCGAAGAGCCGTGTGGCAGTAGACCCTGGAATGCTAAAGCTGCGCAGCATACCTCAGAGGTAGCTGTTTGTGCACATGTGGCGATGCCGCCGCGATCTCTCAAACACAAGGCTCCTGCGATTGCATTCGCTTTCTGTTGATACGAAAAGCATGACCCATTGCACCAAACCTCACAGCACCTGCTACATCGAGGAAGTTTTATCGCGAAACTTTGCACATTGGTGATGAATCAGGCAATGAATGCTAGAGGTGTTCTAATCCTTATCTCGACATGGCCGTCCAGTTCAGCTCAGTTTGCTCAGTGGGACCCCCACACACACACTTCAATTTACATAATGTTTGTCAAGCTTGACAACCACGGCTGCAACATTTTCCCTGTAGAGAGAAGCTTCATGCAAGAACTGATTTTGCTATTATTATCTTGCATTGCGATGCGTTCATACGTTGTAACGGACATTTGCAAGCAGCTTTCATATTCTGGTTTATATTGGAACTTTGCTTCGGTCTTTGCAATGTCGTTCAACTCGATCTGCCGTCAGAGTAACATCGTGAGTTGCTGCCCGATGACTCAAATGCACGGATTGCATACTCTCAACTAAGTCCGGAGTGGGAAATCGACAACATTTTTTTCTCTCTCCCTCTCTCTCTCTCTCAGAAATAGGCGAAAGTTCAGCATGCAGAAGTGCACGAGAAATCCACCAGCTTCTTCATTGATGCTGCGGCCAAGAACAGTCAGATTCACACATTGAGCCTTGACCGGAAACGCGCTGCGATAAAGCAAGCCGGCGCTGAATTGAAGTCATCACTGGTTCCGTATGAACCAATAAGGTTAGCCCGTATGAACCAAGAAGGTTAGCCGACGAAGTTGAAAATAATTCGGGCGCTAAGATGGATACTCGTAACAAGGGATGGGAAGTGTAAGAAAATCGGCCGCCGCAACTCAGCAATCCTACAGACATCTTCCTTATCGAACAGAAGGTTGACCCGCAGTATTCAGGCGAGCATCGCAAACAGAACTGCGACTCAAGAGCACAAACAAGCTCCATTAGAAGGGTCTGCCGATGGATGCATCGCGGCACATGATTAGACAACTTGAGCGACAAGTATGACACACAGGCAATCATCGCACGCACGGTTGTTAGCATGCCAGATCAGTATAAAGGATAAGGTGACAGCCTTATTTTCGGAGCGAATGGCACATTTGCTGTTGAGGTTTTGCTTGGAGTTCATGACATCTTTAGAATAATTTCGTGGCAGGTTTTTCCGCCCATTTTTTTCGCATTTCAATACAAAACGCAGTTTCTTGATTTACCGACATTTGATCACATGTAAAAGACAAAACGCAAATCATTTCGTGTCAAAACACTTTCTATGCGCCACTGAATAGGAATATAGAAATGATATCGTCCTATATCGTCCTACCCATGAAATCCATGGGTCGCATGGTCGCTTTTGAGAGCTTGGATCGAACTTGGAACCTCATCCCCAATGGTGGGGACCAGATCTGGAGCTCGGATCTGCCGGGTCGATCTCTTCGGTGCCCCCATCTTCTGTTCTCACTTGCCTGGGTCACTCGAAGTCAGAGACACGCACGGGCTCCAGGGCCATCCCCTCTGCTTGGGTGCTATTTGGGCCAGTCTGGGAACGTCCAACAGCATGCTGTTGTGTTCATAAAGCCTTTGACCAAGCAAATTCTGTTCTTTCGCAGTGGTGAGCAGAACGAGCCATGTTGCTGGATCACGAGTAAAGTGCCGACGGCTGCGTGAACGTTCTTTAACCAAAAAGTTTGCCTGAAAGTCCTTAAGAACAGAGACAATGGCAAGGTTGAGTTGATTGAAAACGACATCAAGCACGGGGACTCATCCAACAGTAACACTTGCGAAGTCAATCTGTTTGGGACCCATGTAGGTTACGTGCATGCACAGGCAAGGAAGCTCCCATGAGATCGGGACATCCCGAGCAGAAATGATGAATACGAAGTCGGCGAAATCATGATCTGCCCGGAACAATTGAAAACCTGTAAGCTCCAAGAACCAAATGAAGAACAAGAGCGAGCAAATTGTAACCAAGGAAGACGAGCACGCTAAGCAAGTTCAACGTTAATCCTCTGATATTCTGAGAAGCACTAAATCCTTCATTACTGCTGCACCTGCCGCAGCATCCAAGGTTCAAGCAGTGTTCAAGTACTGAGGCAAGCACAACAATCTTGGACTTTAAGATGACAGCCAATAAAGTTGTACTGGGCTGCGACCGAGAGTGCAACGGGCTTTTCCATGTAAGCTGTTAGAAGCATGAGGATGACGAAGAACATGGTTTCAATCAAAGGTGTACTCGGTTGCACGGTTCCTGTGAAAACATTGTAACTGTAGCATAAAGAGCAAACCTGACAGCACAAAACAAGGATTATCTAGAAACAATCCCACACAGTCAGCAACCACATAGCATATTGCAAGAGGTGCAGCTGTTGAGTGGGTAGACAAGCGTTGAAGACATCTAGATTATTTTTACAATGAGATGCTCCGGGTGTGGCGGTGGGCACTCTGCGATTCTCTGCAGATGGGCGTTCCAAGGATTCTCTGTGGGATTCTCTGGGGCTGACGTGACCCGGGAAATATAGCAGCACAATTATGAGGATCGAGCAAGTCGATGTGTAGAATTGAAAAGTGGGTTTTAGGGGAGACCTGAGCAAGAGAAAAACGTGCAAGGCGGGGGTTGGGGGTGAGCAGAGACTGAGTGGCGAAGTTATCGTGACCCATCGCGTCTGGCAGAGACTGAGGTGGTATGGGTGGAGTGAAGCCGCTTCTGCGCAGCGGCAAGATTCAGGCAGAGGGCAGCTTTCAATCTATGGGCGTGGCCCCTAGCTCATAGTGCTGCATCCGTCATTCTCAGTAAGCCCTGATCAGGAGCTGATGTCATGAAGTTTCGCCCGTGCATGCGGCGTGCGGCATCGTGACCAACAGCATAGGTGGCGTCACCTGTCTCTGCAGTAGCAGCATGGGCAATGGGCGGACATCAAAAGACGACGCCCCGACATCGAAAACCACTTCGTGCTATAAAGATGGCATCTAAAGCCATTTTTCTCCCAGACCCGTCGAACAAGGAGGAAAAGAGCTGTTCGACGCTGTCAGCACCTCTGCTAGTTCCTAGTTCGTGTGCCAGCTCGTAGCAAGTCTGTCCGCGGGATGCTTCGCGGATCTTCGCTGTGGGCACTGGACGCAATCACTGCATGGAGTATTGTGTATTGTGAGATGTGAAACTGCCAGGGTGAGCTCCGAGCCATCAGCGACCTTGGGGTCCTTGGCTCAGCGATTGCTCTTTGAACTGGGACCCTCTCGGGGCATGTGAGATGCGAGGCCGCCCTCTTTGCATACACCGACCACGGCTTGTGGTCGGAGGCCATGCGACCAAGCCTCAGATCGCGGGGTACCGCGTCGACTTAGAGAGATGCCTGGGCCAACAAAGATAGGCCATGTCAGCCCCAGTTCAAATGCGTTGAATCCGCAGACTTTGGCCAAGTGAAAGCAAAAGAGGGAGAGACTGAGAGACAGCAAGCACAAGCAATATTAGTGACACTGGCAGAGAGAGGACCGCAGAACATGGGAATCGCAATCGGGGCACCTCGCGAGAAGCAGGTGGCCCGGCCGCTCACTCCCCGTGGGCTCTCGTCCCACGTGCTGCCATCAGCGTATCAAAATAGGGTGACGGAGCTGATACGGCAGACAGCAGATTCGCCTCCCAGCGAGAGCTTAGAGGCGACGGTACGCCGCTGCATCGCCTTCTGCTACAACGTCACGCCCGAGTGGGCGCCACACGTCCGTGTTACGGTGTACGCGGACAACGTCAGTGAGCACCAGTTGAATGTCCCCGTTCTCAGCACGCTTCTTTGTTGCATGGGAGAAGCCGGCTTCGAAACGGAAACAATTCCTTGCAAACCCATCCCTGGCACCGACGTGTATCAAGGTGTGATTCGGCCAAGTGTATTCTGGACTCGACTCGTTCCTGGCGCCGGCCGTATCCATTTCCGAAGCCTGGCGCACAGCTACCTAAAGTGGTTCGTCGATTTAGACGATGCAGACTGTCGCAAACAACTCTTGGTGAACATCCTCCTCCAGATGCATGAGGCATGCTACAACTGCGTTGGCCGCCACAAAGAGGTCTTTGAATTCTGCATCTATGACTTAATGTCGGCTCAACAGATGCAAAAGCCATCTGGTGAGCCCTTGAAGACTTGCCGGACCATTGTTCTCCAGCACGCCGCGCGATTCTTGGATCGGCATAAGCGAAATGCCTTACATGCAGCTTTCCTGAGCCCTTTGAAGTACCTCTTTCAACACTGCTATGAAGTCTACGAGAACTTGGACAGCCATGGCTCATCCTTCTGGGTGGCCGTCTTGAGCGTGTTCTTCCCTGATCTGGACATGCCTTTTGAGAGGATCGAGCAACTGGACAATGGTTGGGGCTGGGCCGCCGTGGACTTTCTTCCATCAATGTCGTCGGTACCTGAGGGTATTGTTGCACTCGAGAGGTTCTCAAAGACGGAGAATTTGGGCCAAGATTGGCGTTCTCTCACACGTGACCTGCCTGCCACGACGTCGTTGCTGCCCAGGCGTTTCCGATACCTCCCATCGACTGCAGGGCCACAGGGCTTTGCAGAAGCTCTACGGCGTATCCGCACTCGTGACGGTGTGCGGCAGCAGTTCGTGCGTTACGTGGACAGATTTACGGCTATGATGCAGGAGGACCTTTATTGACCTGCATACACACACACACATACGGTAAGTAGGGCCTGTCTAACCTTTGTGCATGACATGGTGGATGCAACGCATGGTCAACGATTCTGCTGCAAAACCGGCAACCTGTGAGTGTGGTGCCCCCGTGTAGATCTTGTAGGACGTCCTGGTGAGATGCTGGGCTTTGTCTGCAGTGAGTTCTGAGAGCTGGGATACCGAGCTAGGTCCAGCCCTGTCAGCTTTGTCAGAAGACGTTTTGGGCGAGTCTGTCGCACCCTGTGAAGTGAGGGATGCGCTTTGTGCACTAGAAGCTTCAAGTCACGTCAACATAGACACCACCCGAGCCGCTTCTTTTCTTGCGGCAGCAGGTGTCGCCTGGTCATAAGATGCGAGGTGAACGTACAGCAAAACCCGCGAGGCGACTGGTGAACATTAAAAGGCACAAATTGCACAAATGGCTCAACTGCTCTTCGCGTGATGCGAAGGCTCTTCTCGGGCGTGCAAGGTGTGATTAGCGTACGTGCTTGGACTCACACATCTCTGAGGTCTTGTGGCCAAGCGCCTGCTGGCCGCCGGCCCCAACCTGAGCAGTGCACCTGCAAGCACGCGTGCCAGGGCCTGCGCAATCCGTGCCTTTCAGGGCCTGTCCGAGACTATGCCCTCAACCACCTCGACGATGAGTTTGTTGTGCCCCCAGAGCCACAACATCCCAAACCGGGGAATCCTCGTGCTGGGCATGTCGAAGACAGTCCAAAAGTGTCGAAACCCCGACGATCCGGATTAAACCGACTGAACCCAGGCTGCTCATGACGTGGCGAAGCGCGGCGTCTTGTCCATCTCTGAGGCTCTGCGCATGGGCTGCCCATCCATGAAGTCAGGGCACGACTAACGAGGCTAGTGCATTGCGGTGGAAGCTGCCCCCCCCCCCCCCCCCCCCCCCCCCCACGCGCGCGCGCACGCGCGCACGCCCACGCACCTCGCACCTCGCACCACGCGCGCACCACGCCCATGCACGTGCGCGCACGCAGGCACGCTCCCACTCCCACAAGCGCAGGTATGTTTACACCCCTCCCTGGGGGCGTCTTCGCTGGCCAGCGACCCCCAGGGAAAGCGCTGGCCCCCTGCTTTATGACTTAACGGAAAGAACACCTACATCCTTGGAACACAGGATTGCACACACACACACACACACACAGCTCCCTCATTGAGGTAGCTGAATAGTCTTGATTAGTTGGTGCTGTTGGAAAACTAACTTCGGGTGAAACGTGTTGGTCTTCATCTGCTGGAATACATCAGCAAGCATGGGCAGCTGCTCTGCATGAGGGTAGTCTGCTGAGCTTTGCTCGCACACCACAAAAAACATGACCTATCCTTGCGGCAGACTCGAATCTCGAATGGCCCACCTGCGGTCGGTTGGAACCGAATGTATAAGTGGTACTGTACGCGACACAATGAATGGCAAGGTTGGGGCCGGCACGCAGGGTTCGCAGGTCAAAGCCGCAGCCCCCTGCATGCAACTCCAGGGCAAACCCAGCTGCGCACGACGGTGCCCAGGGACTTGCCGTGCGGAGAAGCCCCAAGCTGCCACAGGGCCATGAGTGCTTCGATTTGAACATCATCCTGAAGTCGAAAACGACATATCTGACGTGAAGGAAGGCTCAAGTTAATTCTGGAAGAGTCAAGTGAAAGAACGTTCAAAGTGATCACTCAGCAATTGGCTGCGGTGATGTAGCATGCATAAAGCTGGAGGAATTCTCGCAGTTTGGAAACATCAAGTGTTGGAGAACTCAAGTGTCGACCTACGCCCGGCCATGCATGTGACAGAATGCCGGTCGAAAACACACTTGGACACCCCCGAAGGAATTAGCTAGAAGGTTACAATGCATCAGTCGCACCGCAAGCGCAGGCTCCCTGGGGGGGTCTTCGTTGGCCAGCGACCCCCAGGGAGAGCGCTGGCCACCTGCTTTATGACTTTACGGAAAGAGCACCTACATCCTTGAAACACAGGATTGCGCACACACGCACACGCGGACACACACAAATACCACAAATAGCACACACACATACAACAAAACGTAACCATGCACAGAAACGCACAAAGTGCAAACGCGTAAACGCACGCACACAAACACGGCACGCACACGCGCGTGCGCAAGCGTACGTGCGCGCACCCACAACGTGGCACGCACCAGAAGCATGATGTGCTTCAAAAGGCTTCGACAGGTAATCTGGGTGGCTTTGATGCCAGGCGATGGACATGCTCCAGAGTGTGGCAGTTCCGGGGCTGACGTGCGTGGGGCCCTGGCAGGATCCACAAGGGCATAAAAATCATAAAAGGCCGAAAAGCTGATAGGGTGTTGTTGGGGGCGTCATGAGATAAACGAGCCCCGAACGAATCCACAGGCCTTCTCTGAATCCTGGCGGGCTGTGGCCATTCGGAAGACGTATGTGGGGCCTCAACGGAACCGCACCATCTGTAAAGACCAGGCTGGATAGGCGCAGCTTTCTCCCTCCAAACTCAGGCGGCTGCCTTTAGCTGCGCGGGATATTTGGTACGTTTCTCTTGGTGTTTTTTTTTTTTTTTTTTTTGGGGGGGGGGGAGGGTGGGGGGGGGGAGGGGGGGGGGGGAGGGGGGGGGGGGGGGGGGAGGGGGGGTGGGGGGGGGAGGGGGGGGGAGGGGGCCTTCTGTTTTGCAGTTGTTTCCTTGCTTGGCTCTAGACTTCCTTGGTTTTGTTTCTTGTGCCTACGCATATTTGCCACTTGCTGCTCTGCCTCTTGCTTTCTTGCTGTTTTAACTTCACATTTGTTTGCGCCTTTCGTGTTCCCCGCTCTTGACGACATGCGTGTTTGTCTTCGCTTGCCGTTCTTTGCTTCTTGTTGTTGTTTTGGACCCTTTGTTCGCATTGATGTTTACCAATTGTACATTGTACTTCTTTGGTTCTGTCATGTTAGGTTTGTTCTCTCGGTGTGGTCTTTGTTGTTGTTTGTTGCATGCTTTCCTTTCGCTCGTTGTTTTGTTTTTTGTTTGCCTAGTTAAGTTTTGCTTTCTCTTTGGCGACGGCAGCTCATCTAGTGTTGGGGCTGAATCATTTCGAACAGTCAGTGGTTTCGGCTGTGCAAGGAATTTGGGCACTTGGGGCTTGTGGACGCCTACGTCGTTCCCAGCTCGTCCCAGTTCAGTTCCATCGGGCGGGTTTAGGGTTTAGGGTTCAGGGTTCAGGGTTTAGGGCTGTTGAACCTTCCAGGTTCAAAAGCCAAGTCTGGGACTCCACGCCTTGACATGTTCCCAAGCGTCTTTAAAAGGAAGCAAACCCCAGGATGGAGCCGCAATGCCAACAACGTCCAACAATACCCTCATAATATTGTTCATCCAGAAAGCTGGTACCCGTTGCCTTGAGCACCGGATGATCTCAGGCTCAGACCTTGCCAGGCTCCTTGAGAAGGAACTGGGCATAGAGGCGTGCAAGCTTGACATGATGAACAATGGCACATTCCAGCACATGGTTCTTGAAGTTGGCGCAGAGAGTTGAAGAGTAAATGATGTGAGGTACCCCGTGCCGAGCTCCACAAGTACTTCACAACGCTGCCTGGCTCGAAATGGTCGCAAGTACATCAGTACTTTCGCTGGACACTCCGCCCATCCCCCAACACTCCAAATTGTCTCGCTTGCCTGCACACACCCACATGCAAGTTTGACGGCGAATGTTCCAAGAAAGCCTTAAAACCGTGACTGTGGCGAGTAAAGTCGTAATGTTACCAGAGTGCCCTAAGTCTAGAGTTAAAGAGCACCTGGAATTACAGTCTCATACACATCGGTTTCGTACACAGTGGTTCACTGCATTCGAATCGCCTGCCTATCCAATGCAGCAGTGCGGGATGGATAGCTTTAGACCTACTTCGGATTGCATTCGGCTTCTGGTCCATTGGCCAGGATGGATGTCAACGGTGATGGCCTGCCAGAAGCCTACTAGAAGATCAGTTTGGTCGGACAGAGAACCTAGGATGATCCAACACGTCCGAGGCTCCAGGACGAGGAGTTCGTGCAGGTGATTCGGTTCTTAATGCTGCCTGGGAAGCAGAATTGGGTGTACTTAAGGAGATGGGGGGAGACAGGTGTAGTAGGGAGCCCCCAATCATCTGTTATAACGCTGACCCACATCCACCTCGGAGCCGCCTAAAGGAAGCAATGCGAGGATGGGGCGGCACTGTTTATGTTCAGAGGCGAGAGGCCTTAGAGGCCTCGGCGGATTGGGAATATTGAGATATATTGAGATACCTGAGAGCAAGACGGTCTTTACGACCTGAGCTTGAAAGGCTTGAAGTGTTCGAGATTGTTCGAGCATGTTGAGAACATCAAGGTTGGACTACTACCCACACCACATCTTGAAACACCTGCACTTGCTTGCCTGGCATGTCTAAACTGACCGCGCTTGGTGTCTTGCAGCCCAGTCAGACAGAGCTAGCAGTTAGCTTGCCAGGACGCTGGGGCAAATTACGCTGTTCGTGTTTGGGGCGCTCCTTGCGATCGGCGTGGTGTTCCTCCTTGTCACCGTCCCGAGTGCATCACTATCTGACACTTCGCATGCGGCTATTCCCCGCTCAAAGTATTGTGCCTTGAGGTGACACTTGTTATAGACTTCTTCAAAGCAGGCGGGGGCAGCTAGACCGGCAAATGGTTGGAAACCTAGTTGTGCACTTCTTGTGGGTATATGTTTTTCCTCTTAGGCCTGCTAGGGAAGATGGAAGGGAAAGAGAAGCAAGGAACGGATGCAGGGAGGGATGCCAACCATGCGGATAGTTCTTGGAGGCTGAGACGAGGGCTTCATTTGCGCTCTCGCCCAGGTCGCATGCACGTTCCACATTGGAAAATCGTGCTCCCGCCTAAGTCCCGTGCGTTTGAGGTTTGTGCCGGTCGGTGTTGCGTAAAGCGAGGCAGCGCGTACTTTGCCTTGTTTTTGGGGTTCGTTACGTGCCTCCAGGGAGTCTCGTCAAAAGGAATTCGCATGTCATGCGCTTGCGAACTGCGCATGCGCAGAATTCTCCTCGTCAAAATCAGTACTCTCTCTTTGGCCCCTGGAGTGGCTTTGGACGAGTGGTTCTGCTCTTGGAGTGGTCTTGGAGTGCTTTGGGTGGTCATCTTGCTGGAATTGCTGTGCAGTGTCTTGCACCGTTTGGGCCCACGCTGGCAGAAAGACAGCCTTTTGGGCGGTCAGACTGACAGTCTACTACGTTTGGAGCATCCAAGGCTTGGAAACAGCTAGAAAGATTGTCGGCTTCGCTTTCTGTTCCTAGATGGGCTGTTTTGGTTTTCTTCGGATGGTCAAAACTGGCAGTGCAGCTGGCCCGCTTTGTAGTCGACATACCCTTGTGGCCAGAAGTCGTCCTAAGACAGCCGCCTCAAAAAAGAAGTCTAAACAAAAGATTGCGGTGGTCGCATCTTCTTTGCAGGAGAAGACGTGGCGGCCACACTTCATGGAGGCTTTAGCGCCATCTTCGGGGTTGTGGGCAAAAGGCCTGGAAGTGCCTGAAAGGAGCGTGTGCTTGGATGGCAAAGGTGTTCGGATGTGTCAGGCTCAGTGATGAGGGTATCGGTTTTGAAGACACCATGAAGAACTTGGAACTCAAGCTCGAGGCAGCGATCCCACAGACCACCAAGTCTCGAAGTCACTTTAAAAGCCTGTCTGCTTGCCTCCATTGCTTCAACGACACGAGCCCCTGAGTGCGCGGCCAGTCGATGATGGTGACCGCACTCGTAATGGTCCTTGGCCTCTCGAAAGAGATGCAGGACGTGTCAGGAGCCCAGAATTCTGGGGCTCAAGACAATTCCTGGCTTCAACGTAGGTGATTGCCTGGACAGGTTTCGAAGCGTGTTGACCTCGGCTGAAGAGCTCGCAGCATCCAGAAGCTAAGCAAAGCCTCGGAGCATGGTGGCGTTCCCTCTCGATGGGTCTCAACGGAGGCAGGTCTGCTAGTAGGCTTGAGGCAGTTGAGATGTCCCTGTCTCCAACAACTTTTTCGAAGGTGTGCAGACAATTTTGAAGAACAAAAAAACGATAGCTTGCAAGTTGTAAGTTCAATCGTAAGTGGCCAATGGTTGATTTCCTTACGACTGTGCAGGACTCTGCACAATCCTCTCTGCATGGTCTGAACAGAAGGACTGTGTGCCTTGGTGCTGCTGTGCCATTATTGTAACGAGACGCTTCATTTACACTTGTGGGCGTTTCATCTGCCCTCTTGGGAAACACTTCTTGGACGAGCGTCGATGGCGAACCCGTAGCGTGCGTTGCATCTTCGACCTCCCAACCAACATGGTTGTGGCGGAAGGTGTCCGTGGCCGTTCCATAAGCTCCATAGCTTCTTTGTTGGTCAACACTTTCACCAATCTTGAGCCAAAACGGCATGTCGGCCCCATCGACCGCTTAGGTGCGCAGGTTGTCAAGTTTGAACGATTGCTAATCGTAAGTGGCATCCTTTGCCCGGCTTCTGGCCATGCGGCCCAAGGCCGGCAATGCTTGAAGTCATTTCGATTACAATCCACTCAATGCCTGAGCAAAAAGTGACTTCCCTGACTCTCGTTTTCAGGTGGCCGTGGTACCGAAGTTGTAAGGACCATCTTTTTGCAGACTTAAGATGATTCATTTTGGCACTGGTGTCTGCGATTCTGGCTCCGAACGCAGTACCAGTTTAACACAGTTTAACACCGCAGAGATCCAGCGAGATCTTGTTCTGCGGCCGAGCTGCTTGGCCGAAAATGGACGTGTCTTGCAGCCTGCAAAGATACGAACTAATACGAACAAGAGAGCCAACTTGTGGCCCAGGTTGCGCCATGCAAGTGAAGGTTGTGCTCCCGAGCGGTGAGGCAGCCAGCATCCGCCCAACCTGGTTGCCAACTGAATCATCCGGGCATGCGTCCTGAAAGGTCAATGTGCCTGTGGAGCCAAATTCCACGCCTGGACACCTCAAGGAAAATCTAAAGTGCGCCAGCCGCATGCGCGTGCGCGTGTCATTTGCATCTCCCCTGCGTGCTGCTTGGTCTTTTGCAAGACAAGTTGGGCAGGTACAGCATCCGCGTGCCTCCAAAGCAGATCAAGCTTACATGCGAAGGCCAGTCATGGATGTTTCGGACATGTTTTGACGTTCCTTGTTGCTGAGGCCGGGAGCTCGACGACATCAAGCCGCTAGTGGGTGAACCAAACAATGCACCCGGCTTAGGAGACGTTTCTCTTCAATATATATATATATAAATGTGAACAAATAGACATAGAAATAGAAATAGAACAAAAAAAACAAAAATATAAATATATATATATATATATATATAGCAGCCCGGCTTGCCTCTTTGAAAACGTTGTGCCAGGTCACGGATGGGGCGGTGCTCGTTGCAGAGAGGCGAGAAGGTGTCGTGGAGGCGGTCCCAGGGCATTCGGCCCCTTTCTTTGAGGTTCGTTTGAACTGACTTTGGAGAGTTCCCGGATGTGGGTCAGGACGAATCGATCGTCCCGAAATCATCGCCGCCACCGGCCATGATTCGCAAGGCGGGCCAGCAGGGTAATCAACCTCCGACGGCCTCCGATGCTAATCGGCTTGTCCCACTGCCGCCAGGAGGAGCCTCCTAAGCCGAAGAAGCCCAAGAAGGCAGCAGCACGATGCAAGACTAGCATAGATTCGCATAGATTTACCGTTGGATGCGGTTCCTTCGGAGGATGTCGTGAGACCGACCTTGTCTGAGGGCCCCTTGGCTACAACTTTCAGCTGTAACCTCCCAGAACTGCAACTGGTATTTGCCTGCAGTTGCCGATCTCGGTGCCCTCTCCGCATCTGATCTCAGGAGATGTCAAGAAAGACAAGACGCTTTCGCCAGGGCACCAGGGTTGGGCAGCGAAGTCCGCATACCTTGAGGCAGGCACATAAAGCATTCTAATCTACTTAAAGGTATCCAAATGGGACCTGTCCGAGGGAGTTGCGTGTACCAGGCCAAGTCGAAGAAGCGACACATGGCCTTTTTGAAGATTGAGAACAGCGAGGAAAAGAAGGCCCCAGCCCCAAAGTGCCTTACATCGGCTTTCTGTGATGACTGGGTGCCGCCAGGCTTATCCAGAACACGAGGATTTCTCGGTTGCGCTGCCTTTGGGAGATCCGCAGTGCTCTCCTGTGTGGACAGCTGGCTCCCAAGAAAGCTATGGTGCCTGCCCAGCAGACTGCTACTTGTACATGCTGCCTTTTCTTTCTGCCTTCCCGAGGCAGTAGTGCAGCAGCTGGAGATTGGCGAGAGAGCCAGTTTTACGCTTTCGCGCAAGGCAGGTGGGGGCAGAACTGTAGTTTCTCATGTAGGAATAACACTCCTTTTGCGAGCTGTGCATAACATCACTCTACCCTCGACTGTGGCTCAAGTTGCCGATAAAAAGAGGCGTACTTAACGGTTTACATATTCCCTCATGTGCTGACCTGTAAACTTCAGGTTATCAGCCGTAGAGTCTCACACGATGGCTCTGCAGCTTCAAGATGGGACCATTGATCCCAATACGCAACATGATCAGACTGCAACGACCAACTACCAACAGTTCAACCAGTACCGGGTACAGCAGCAGCTGATCATCGTGCAACAAAACGAGGATGCAGAGCGAGTTCGTATCGAAGCCGAACGCAGACATGCGGAAATCCTGGACATGGCTACAAGACAGGCCCGTGCAGAAATGGGAGAACTCGAGCAACACGCTGATGCCCAACATCGTGCACGGCTTGAAGTCATCGGTGACCGTATGGACTTTGTGGTTCGTGAGCTGCAACAACAACTACTGGAGACCAAGGCAGCACTAAGAGGTCGAACGGCGGAGCTTGACCAAGCCGCACAGGACGCACACACACTTAGGATGCACAATCTCGAGCTTGAGGCACGAGGTAACATGGTTCTCGAATCGGAAACTCGCCTCAGGACCCATCTTGAACAGAGTGAATTTTCCCTTGCTAACCTCAGGGTCGTGTACGATCAAAACAGGGAAACCCAGCTGGACTTCTTAGGCAACGAATTTAGAGAGCAAATGCAGTATGAAGAGAACATGTTCATATATGCCATGCATGAAGAAGAAAGCGCATGCGATGTCTTGATTCAGGAGTTGGCTGAGTCGAACCAGCGTTTGATGGTTGAGCTTGATGAGGCTAAGGCAACCGCTTCGGCGTCATCTAGCCTGCCGAAAGGTGGTGCCGATCACCAGCAGGCTGTTCCCATGGCCTCAGCGCCTCCACCGGGTTTGAACACTGCCGAATCAAGCCCCCCGCAAGGGGGTGCCGCATGCGGTAATGCACATGTTACGCATGCTGATTTGCCAAATCCGTTGCAGATTCCAGAGAGCATGAAGGGTCTCTTTGAGAGACGGCCTCAGAGATTTAATCTGGGAGCATCTACTCCTGTTTCGCAAGCCCCTAATGAAGTGCATGAAGCGATTGCAAAAGCGCTCAAGGACTTTGCTACCAAGGATGAGACGAAACCTAAGACTAAAGAAGCGGAGTCAGTGAAACTTCCGGATTTTCCCTCAGCGGAGACGTACAGATCGTGGAAGACGGCAGTGCGAGAGGCTGTTCGAGCAGCATCTGATCATCCTGATGAAGCATTTGCGTGGATTCAGAAGGTGTACGCAAAGGGTGCGTCGCTAGATAGCCTCAACGATGTAGGGAAATTCCTCACGCTAGACACCAAAATCCTTGCAGCATTGTCTAGGGTGGCGAAGGGCGAGCTTGCGAGACAGATACTCAACTACAAGGAGACGGAGGCCACCTATGGTAGAGCAGTGAGAGGTAGGCAAGTGCTGTTAATGTTTGAAGCCTACTTTAAAACCAACGAAGAAGTTGGCTCCCTCTACTCGGTCGAAGACCTCTTGAAAGTGGCACTGATCAATGATGACCTCGCTACCTTCGTGCATAACTGGGATTCAGTGATTGCTGGACCATCGCATCCCCCAGACGAAACCACTTTGCGCGACATATTCCTCCGTGAGCTTCGCAAGTCCCATCGCTTGAAGTATGATCTTGACATTTATGATCGGGCTCGTGAGGGGACCCCCGAGCACACCTACAAGTTCCTCATGGAAAGCATCAAGAACCTCCTCACACGAGAACGAATTAGGAAGAACAGGGACAAGATTGCTAAGGCCCATGGCGCGAAGTATGGTGCTCCTGCCCCTCCTACCTCTACGAAGCCGTCAGCGCCCGCTCCTTCGGAGCGACGACAGCCATCCAGAGGACGTCAGGGAAGGCAGGTTTGCATGTTGTTTCAGAAGGGCAAGTGCAAGTTTGGGGAGCGTTGCAAATACGAGCACACGAAAGACCCCAAAGCATCCTCAAGGGAGAGATCTCCCAACCGGCCTAAGTCAGGTTCTCGCGAGAGAGATAAGAGCAACAGCAAAGACACCTCCAACATCCCATGCGCATTTTATGCCAAGGGTACTTGCAGGAATGGGGATAGGTGCAAGAGGACAGGTCCGCATCGCCCTCTGTCCCGGCCAAGGCTAAGGCACGTGCACCCTCTCCGGCCAAGCGGAGGCCGAGCCGGAAGAAGAGGACAGAAGCTAAAGCAGCTGCCTGCTGCGTGTACGCCTTAGCCGCCCGAAAGGGTGAGCCGGACGGCAGGCATGCAGACATATGGCACCTTGATGAGAAGTCACTCACGCTATCTAGGGAACATGTTGTTCTGAGAAACAACTATTTTATTCCCCAAAGCTGCCCCGTTCCAGAATGGAGAATCAAGTCTGTTGCGAGCATCACCATGAAGCTGAAAACCGGCGAAGAGCGAACGTTACAGTACAATTGGAAAACGTGCGACAAGCAAGCACCTCTGCCCAACTGGACGGGCGTCACGAGTTTCAAGCTGAAGCCTAAAGACATGAGTGTGTGTTTTGAAAGGCGCCCTGAGATACACACAGTTGAAAGCGTCGGAGATGGTTGGAAATTTGTTCCCCACAAGCGCAAATGTGTAGCAAGGTTCAAGACCAATGCTGATTGCCCCGTGTCCGACCCTGGTGATCTTCAGTGTGCAGTCATCATCGCACAAAATCTTGAGGCCTCAGTGTACTCGGAACTCCATGGTGAAAAGACAAAATGTAAGCATCGCTGCTGCAAGCCTGATTTCGCTTGTCGGCATTGTGCAGCAGGAAACATAATGTCAGGAACTGCCGCTCCAGCGCGCAAGGAACTTCGGAGCTTGGACATCAGCGTGTCGGGAAGTGAAGAGGACCTTATCAGCTCTTCGGACCTGAAAAAGTGTTTCGAAGGGGTCGGTAGGAAAGTCGACGCAACGCCAGTCAACCTTCATACGGCCAATGGCATCGTTGAGGCATCGTCCAGGACAGAAGTCGAGGTTCCGTCAATGAATGGCAGCCTGGAATTCGTGGAACTCCCGGATACCCCACCGGTTTGCTCTGTGGGAAAGAAGTGCATGCAGCAAGGGTACGGTTTTTACTGGCCTCCAGGGCAAGTTCCGTACTTCGTGAAGCCCGATGGCCAGAAGCTCACTTGCACGCTACGGGGAAATGTTCCAGTTTTCAGCAGTATTGGGAATGATTCCGGACACCCAGCTGCTGTAGCGCATCGCGATGAAGGTGAACGAATGGCGCCCACCTGCTCCTTGCAGCAGGATTTTCACGCATAAGCTGCCCGAAAGGGCATGCCGCAGCAGCCGGACCACTTCCAGGAGCTCCAGACGGTGTAGTCCCGGTACCTGCGGCAGACGAGGGAGATCATCCTCCATGGCTGGCAGAGATCCTAACCAAGGATTCCCCTCTCGAAGGCATGAAGAAAGAGCAACTATTGAAAGCTGGATGGATTACTGTGAATGGTGATCCCCACGTCAAGGTTGCCCACAAACCAAAGACCTTCAGATCACCAGCACCTCGCTACCCCAAGTGTCGAATTCGTTCCACCTGGGGGTACAAAGATGGCGAGTGGAAGCAGCTGGAGAACAAGGTCAACATGGACGAGCTCGACGCCATCTACGGTAAGGTGCCTGAGGGTACCAACATGCTCATCACTGTCTTTGCCATGCCCGATGGCGGTGAAGACATACCCGATAGCGACGTTGAGGTCCACATCCCAAAGTCAAAGAAGGACGAGGCGTCTCTAAGAGTTGAAGCGGAATCCGTGCAGCATTTTTTGAGCCATCGTCCAAAGAACCCTTTCTGTCCGGTATGTCAACGAGCCAAAATGTATGCTCCGCATGCCAGAAAGAAAGGAGGGTCTAGCACTGTGCACAGCAAGGGGTTCGGTGACCACATCACCATCGACCACATCATCACGAAGGACGCCAAAGACTACGGATTCGAAGGCCAAACTGTAGCACATGTTGTGAAGGATGTCTTTACGAAGTTCCGTTACGTTTACCCGGCCGACAACAAAAGTGGTGAGCAGTGTTACGAAGACTTACTGCACTTTTTCGAGGTCGATGATAATGTTAAGGTTGTTTACTCAGACAATGCTCTCGAGTTCGACTACGCGGTTAAGCAACTCCAAGCTAGGCACAACAAATCCAGGGAGTATGTGGACCAGAACAAAGCAGTGATCGAGCGTGAAATACGAACGATCTTGGAAGGTACGCGTGCCAATTTGGTACAATCTGGTTTACCTGATCAGTTCTGGCCACTTGCATCCCCACATCATGCTATTTCTTTAAACGTTAGTAAACGTCTTGACAACGGTTTAGTACCATGGAATCAAAGGTTCGGGAGCGACTTCCAAGGGGTCCTTGTTCCCTTTGGAGCTAAGATTTTGTACTGGGCCGACCCCAAGCAGAAGCAGCCCAAAAGGTCAAAGTTTGCGGGGGCGGGTATCGAAGGAAATTTCCTCGGGTATCATATCCAGCCTGGCTTCGTCTTCAAGGAAGAGTACTTAGTTGCTCCTTTGCAGGGACTCAACGAGGCCATCGAGAATGATGCCTTCAGGACTTTCAGGGCCAAAAGGCTTGAGCTCCTGGAAGGGAAGTTCCAGTTCCCATTGTCACCGGATCTTAAAGCTCTGGGAAACCAGAAGCCGCCCGAACTCGATGATCAACATCACAACGCCGTTGAAGAAAGAAACCCGCATCAAGAAGAAGATGATTTCGAAGGAGGAGTGGGGCCGCTCGATGAAGGAGATCGGCCATTAGGAGGGTCAGCAAGGGACGACATTGTTTATCCTGCATGATATGATCCTCTAGATGATGTGCCCTTCTCAGTCCGAGAGAGATTGGCACCTGCGACTCCATCGTTCAAAACAAAAGACGGAATCGGCATTCCGTATGGCTATCGCTGGGATGGGGAGAGACTGATCAAGC